CGCAGCGGAGAGATCAAAACAAAACAACAGTCACTAATTAGAAGTACAAAACGAGGATTTGTAAAGAAGAATGTTAGAGGATTTCGATATAAGCCAAGAGGAGACTGGTTTTCCTTTGCTAAAGTAAGGAAACTTTGCTTCCTTTGCTCCTGTTAACAAAGTGCGATCACTCACTTGCATTTTTTTCTCGATAGTGGAAACAACTTAAAATACGTCGTAATTTTTGCTCATAAAGGTAAGAGTAATACATTCGGAAATGTAAAAATAAAGGATACATACAGCATGTGCTTTCTGCAATTTCGGCCAGGAGCGCTTCAGATGAACCGAAACTCAGCGAATACTTGCCTCAAAAACTTGCTATATATATATATATATTAGAAAGCTTTAAATTACTACTTTAAAACGAAATAATTCAAATCGAAAACAAAAACTCTTTCATTAGGCTATGTAATCCTTAAAGATGCATTTCTCTCTAAAGGCACGTCCAACGAGGAGATGGCGAGTCATTTTTTCAACACCATCTAAACTATAAAAATAAGAAAGCCTTAAACAGGCCTAAAAAATTATATTTTTTCTGATTTTTATGTTGCTCTGCTCTAAATACCTTTTACACAATTTTGTCTGATATGTGAATTATATTTATTTAGATACTGATTTTAGTTGGTCTAAATTAAGTAGGTTAGGCACAAATTTGCTTATATGGGTTCCCTTCTAGACACGAGCGCTGTGTGTTTGTATGTGCTTCATAACCATGCACCCCAGGGGGCCCGTCTAATAGCCTGCACTGGGGCCCGTCATTACTAAGTTACGCCACTGCTCTGGGGTGAGTAAAACAGCCTAATTTTCATTTTTGGGTGAACTAACCCTTTAAGTTCCTGTCGGTGTTATCTGAGTTGGTCCGGTATTATACGTCGAAGTTGTGCTTCATGTGAGTCTCGCCCTGCCTTGTGTTTCCCTTTTAGATTGTTTATTAAAGACTGTAGTTTTGAGTTTATCCTCATTTCCTCGTTCTTCGTCTTGTCCCAGAAGGCAACCGTGACAGTATCCTTGAGATAGTACTGCAGTTTTTAATGATATTTTTAATTCGTTTTTATATTTAGATTTTCTGTTTTAATTTTATCTGATGTTTTAGTTATTTTGTCGTGAGTTTTTGTAAGTTTTAGTAATATTTTTTCAGTATATTTATTTTTGTTTCATTTTATTATTATTGTTATATTTTATTATGTTTTATTTCAGTTTTAGTGATTTTATTGCATCAAGTTAAACGAATGAAAATGGCAAATGTTGCTTAGTTTAAAATAGTGTTATTTTAGTGAAATACTATATTATAGTTTTTGTTAATATTATGAATTAGATTTTATTTTTATATTTTCTGTTTTCATTTTAACTGTAGTTAAAGTTTTAGTACTGTTGTGCTTTTGTCTTTTTTTTTTAATAAATGTCTATATCATTTTATTCATTTTTATTTAAAGTTAAACAAAATGAAAAGGACAAATGTGGCAACTCTACCTAGTCCCTAGTGTACGTAGTCAACTAACTGAAATAAAATATGTTTAAGCTTATATTTTATTTTATTTCTAGTGACAAAAAGCTAACCTTGGTTTGAAATAGCATACTACTTTTATACAGTGCCGCCCACTAATATTGGCACCCTTGGTAAATATGAGCAAAGGTGGCTGTGAAAATAAATAACTTCAGTCACCCTGGTGTGCTACAAAATGTAAATATGAATGAATATACTTCAGAGATATTTTACTCATAAGAATTTCTAGGGGTGCTAATAATGGTAGCCAACATGCATTGGAAAAAAACATTTATTTCGTAATGTGACTTTCCCCCCACTTTCAATTGTTTTACTTCAATGAAAGTTTAGAATTTTGTGATTTTTTTGAATGAAAGATCAAAAAGATAAACAATGCAGATTTATTCTCACAGCCGCCTTTGCTCATATTTACCAAGGGTGCCAATATCAGTGGGGGGCACTGTATATATAAAGTATGCATGCATGTGCTGTCTTTGACATGTCTGTTGTGTCTGCAGGACTTCAGGGAGAAGAACACGGATCACATGCGTCCGGATATCGTGGCTCTGCTGAAGAGCAGCCGAAATGCTTTCATCTGTGGCCTGATGGGAATCGATCCGGTGGCCACCTTCCGCTGGGCCGTGATCCGCGCCTATTTCCGAGCGCTCGTCGCCTTCAGAGAAGCCGGGAAACGGCACAAGGAGAAGATGACGACGACGAGCGGTGAGAAACAGTGTCATTACAAACCAGATCCTGTCATGCAGCTGTGAGACTCAAACACTCACAAACGTTTCTCACAATCAAATGTGCAAGAATTAACTACCCATGATGCAACACTTCTCTATTATTTATCGCCATGGAGACAATGCAAACGCTCTCGTGATGTTAAAATATGCATGCATGAAGACAGAAGAACAGCAGACTGGAAACAATGCGTTTTAGATGCTGACACACTTAGCATCCCTGTGATTTCATTCACAATGCTTCGTTTTAAATTAAATGTAATTTTAATGTAATGTTTTTTTGGGGGGGGCGGGTTTTGCAAGCAATGACAATAAAAATAGATTATTATTATTATTAATAATAATAATAATAAAAATAATACTTTTATAAATAGTACAATTATATAAATTGTAAATAATTAAAAACATTACAAATAATAAAAAATAATAATGTATAAAAAAAACATTAAAAAATTAAAAAAAATTTAAAAAATTCAGTGTGTAATGTAACATTTAAAAAGGTAAATTTACACAAAAACATACAATTTGCTTAATTTATATATATTTTTAATACATACTTTATAATTTTTTTTTACCTTATTTGTGGCAGTTTCCCTGTTCATTTTTTTTATATACATACAATAAACAATAAAATATAACCACAGGTATTTACTGTTTATTATTTACTTTCTAAAATAAACATGAAAATATACATAAACATTTTCATGCACCTTATTTATTTATAACATACAAGTAAGCATTTTAAAATATAAATAATCACTTTTTTATTTGCAGCTCAGCTATTTCTATAGCATATGATATGCTGCTGGTTTGTGGAGTTGTCGTCAGATGTTTGCGGACACAGTTGTGATAGTTTATCACATGCGTTTGTGAACATGTGCTGTGTTGTTTTATTAAAGTGTTTGTTGTTGCAGAATCACTCGACCAGCGAGAACAACAACTGCAGACGACGACACTAAAATGGTCCGGTTCAGAATCAGAAAAGTGTGGACAGCTTCAGTTTCCTGCATCATCCTGTTCACCAGCGGAGCCTTGAGATCCTGCAGCGATGCAAAGATGACAAATACAGTAAGATGACAAAAATGTTTATCACTTGAAATAAAATAAATATTAACTGAAAAAAAAAAAAAAACTTGATTAACTTGATGTTCTAAAATAACTAAAAATAAACTGAAATAAAAGATATTTCCCAAACTCTGTTGTCCCGCTGAAATTTTAAGTTATTATTTAAAAATGTAATAACACGTTCACGTTCATGGTCACATGCAGGCAAACTAAAATTTTACCACAATGTTAAAAACCAAACATGGTAAAGACACTGTAATGTAGCTTATTGACTTTATGAAACTACAGCATGAAAAAATACAATGTTTATTTACTGAATAAATTCAGTAAATATTAATTTGTCAATGTATTTATCAAAATAATGTCTTCATTTATTAAAAGTTTTATATCTATAAACTAATAAAAATTACTAAAACTTTGGCTAACATTAAAATGGAAACTATAAAAAAATTAATAATTTTTTTTAAACATAAAAATTACAACAAAAATTACTAAAACTTTGGCTAACATTAAAATGGAAACTATAAAAAAATTAATAATTTTTTTTAAACATAAAAATTACAACTTTATCAAGTGTTTCAAATTGTCTTTGTGCCAAATGAGTATTCCACCTGAGTCACGGCCATATTTTATTTTAGAATTTTTTAATGAAGGAACAACAATTTCTTTGTATCCTATTGGACAATGTAAAGCCTCATTACTGCGACACCACGTTTCATGAAAGATACAAATGTCCATATCTGTTACACTGCTGAGTAAGTCTTGGTCTGCAGACTTGTTACCGAAAGTAGAAGAGTGCAGACCCTGTATATTCCAACAACTGATTTTAAGAGACTTCATGAATAGGTTTGTCTGTGAAGTGTGTGCGTGTATATGTACATCTGTGTGAGTTATATCATGAGTCTGGAGCAGACTGTGTTCAGCAGACGTCTTATCTCTCTCTCTCTCTCTCTCTCTATATGTCTCTCGCTCTCTCTCTCTCTCTCTATGTCTCTCTATGTCTCTCTTTCTCTATGTCTCTCTCAAAAAATTAATAATTTTTTTTAAACATAAAAATTACAACAAAAATTACTAAAACTTTGGCTAACATTAAAATGGAAACTATAAAAAAATTAATAATTTTTTTTAAACATAAAAATTACAACAAAAATTACTAAAACTTTGGCTAACATTAAAATGGAAACTATAAAAAATGTTTAAAAAATGTAAACAAAAATTACAACAAAAATTACTAAAACGTTGACGTTATAATGAAAACAGAAAATATAAAAAAAAATGTTTTACATAAAACAATGAAGTTACTAAAACTTAAACTGATATTATGATAAAAACAGAAAGTATAAAAATTTAAATAATAATAAGTACAAAAACACAACAAATTTGCTAAAAAATTACAAAAAAATACTAAACTATAAATTTAAACATTAAAACGTAAAATATAAAAATAAAAACTGTTGGAACGTCACAGCAACTGAATCTTCAACAATAAAAATGACTAAATGATCTCCCCAAAAATCCATCAGAACGATCTGACATCATCATAAAGAGTTTTTGTTATGGTTCTGTTAATGATGAGGTTATTGTTTGACTTTCAGGATATTTGTGTAAACAGGCTTTAATTTGGTCTCATGGCAGTAATTTCAGTTTGGCTCATGTGTGACTGGTTTATATGAATGATCTCAGTTGTTTGTGTTCCTCTCTGTCTGTCAGATTCCAGCATCAGCCGGAGGAGTCCACGCACTCCACTATCAGACCTGCAGGGAACAAACACGCGCCGCGAGAACATGAGCAGGTACAAACCCCTCAAACATTCACTTCATATTTCAGTCATTTAAAGGGATAGTTTACCCAAAAATGTAAATGTGATGTTTATCTGCTTACCCCCAGGGCATCCAAGATGTAGGTGACTTTGTTTCTTCAGTAGAACACAAATTATGATTTTTAACTCCAGCCGTTGCAGTCTGTCAGTCGTATAATGCATGGCAATGGTAACAAAATCTATGAGAGTAAAAAAAACATGCACAGACAAATCCAAATTAAACCCTGCGACTCGTGACGACACATTGATGTCCTAAGACACGAAACGATCGGTTTGTGCGAGAAACCGAACAGTATTTATATCATATTTAGTATTTATATCTCGAATGAGTTCGCGTGAGAGAACGTAATGGGGGTAAGCAGATAAACATCACATTTACATTTTTGGGTGAACTATCCCTTTAACCACATGTTCACCGAGCTCTGATGTCAGCTAATGGTCACATGACATGCAGCAAAACAAACAAAACAACAACATTTCTGATACAATTGTAGAGTTTACCACACAAAATAGAGTAAAGTCACTTTAATGCACAACTGTATTGGTTTTATAAAGTGGCAGCATGTAAAAATTAACAAGTGTTCAATTATTAAGAAAGTAATTAATTTAACTAATAAATATAATTTTTAAATAATCATTTAAATAATAGCTTTATAAATAACTAAATTGTATTATTGATTTTACTGATGAATTTTATTATAGCAGGTAAACAAATACAGCACCACAATTTGTGATTGTTTTATAGCTAAAAAAAAATGTCAGCGTAATTTAAAACAAATTAAAACGTATGTATTTATTAAAATTATTTATCAAAAATTGAATATTAATTGATTTTTTTAAATACATAAATAAAAAAAACATAAAATGAAGTTTTAAAATATCTAAATTGTTTATTAAAAATACAAAATTTTAAATGTATTTACTAATAACTTTTAATTATAGCAGAAAAGCAATTAAAACAGAAATTTGTGATTGCGGTATTGTAGATAAAATTGTAGATTTTACCACAATTTAAAAACAAAACATGGTAAAGTCACTGAAATGCACAACTTTAAGCGGCTAATTGATTTTATGAAATGACATCAGGAAAAATGTTAATGTTCAATATTTATTAATAATTATAATAATTCAATAGATAGATAGTTTATTAAAAATATTAATTAAAAAAATTTTTTTTTTAAATATCTAAATTAACTTTTTAAATATGTATAATACATTTTTTAATGTAGAAAATAATTATATTTATATAATAAATTATTCCATCTTTATTAAGTGTTTTATTAGCTATTTATTTAATTTAAATAAATAAATAAAAATGTATTTGTATGCTTTAATGAATAACTAGGTTTTGGTCAGCTTGCGAACCCCGCGGTCAGTTCAAGCGTAAAACACAAAAGCAGGTGTTTCTGCTGTAAGTGTAAGGCATGCGTGTCTCCGTCTGTGTCAGGAGGTGCGAACGCGTCTCGTCTCACCAGGAGGAGGGCATCTTCGTGAACTCGGTGAATAATAAGCTGCTGGAGCGAGCGCAGGGCATCCTGATGTGAGTCTGAACCCCAGCCGCACACTTCAGCTCTGATTCTGACTCGTATTCATTCTGTCTCAAACTTTCTCTGTTTCTGAAGGAGAAACAAGAACTGCAAGACCAAGCCCAGCCTCCCGAAGGTGACGCATGCATTTTAATTCAGCATCTTTAGCATGTTGACACAACTATGCAATATTTATTTTTATTTTAAATATACATTTAAAAAATGTGCAACTTACTCAAAAAAAAATTAATAAATATATATATATATACACTAGTGCTGTCAAACGATTAATCGCGATTAATCGCATCCAAAATAAAAGTTTTTGTTTACATAATATATGTGTGTGCACTTATGTATATATAAATGCAAACACATGCATGTATATATTTTAGAAAATATGTTATATTTATATATTAAATATATTTATATATAATATAAAATATAAGAATATGAATATATAAATGTATAAACGTAAATATTTTCACAATATATACATGCATGTGTGTGTGTGTATATATACACATAATAAATATACACGGTACACACTCATATATTATGTAAACAAAAACTGTTATTTTGGATGTGATTAATCGCGATTAATCATTTAACAGCACTATACATTTTTTTAAATGTTTGAAATATAAAAGGTTACACTTTATTTTAAGTGTCATTGTTCCAGTGTAATTATACATTGAAGTACTGAGTAATATTAATTAACTACATGTACTTCTACTTACCATAGGGTTAGGGTTAGGGTTTGGTTTAGGCAGAGGCGGACAGTAACTAAGTACGTTTACTTGAGTATTGTACTTAAGTACACTTTTTGAGTATCTGTCTTTACTTGAGT